TGTGGCTGGCCTTATGGCTGCGTGTGTGTAAGGAGCCCTGACCTACTATGTACTGTACACAGAGCTCAGGCTGAGGTCAGCTGTTCACAACAAGTAAGCACTCCTAGTAAGCACTCCTTTAAAATAGGCCATGCATGTTCTATAATACATGCAAGGAAAAAAAAAAGTGTGGTAGCCTACAAGCCTGTGAAAAAACTGGAACAGATATCGCAAAGACTAACTTGTCTATTTGCAGAAGTGGGTATGTGTGCGCATGTGTGTATATTATTCATGATACTCACATCACTCCTATTTTGTCTGATGATGTCGGACCATGCATGCCGAGACAAAGTCTTCCAATCATCCTATTAATGTACAACGCAGGCTCAAAACACTCTTCTAGCCTTTTGTACGTGTATTCATGCTCAACGCTTGTTCATGAACTTGAACAGACAAACTGCACACACACACGGGATGTGAGTGCATGAGGATCAGTACTCACGGCATTCATGTCAATGCCATTGGTGTAGGACCAGGCATGTTGGAAATATTCCTCCAGCCTCTGTCTGAGTGGGTTGGGAATCTGGTGAAAACGGATAAACTCCCTGACTCTCAGCATCTGGGTGTGGTAACGGGCCGTCCCTGAGTACAGACGCTGGATGATGGCCGACACGTTCCCAAAGATGCTGGCGTACATCAGGGCTGGAGGTCAAAGAAGGGGAGAGGGTGAGATGTGAAGGAGGGTTTGGAAGTGTGAGGAAGAAGGAAACAGGCATTATTAACAGAGGATAGGGAACACAGCAGCACACATAATGTGACCTGACACATTTTTGGTTTTCTGTTTGAAAAGACATATATTATAAAACGTAACATGCTCAGGTGATACAGTAAGCTTAATAAAAAATATGGTAAGTGGAGCAAGACAAAGAAGAGAAGCTGAAACAGTCAATTCATGGGAATAGTACATATGTAAGCTTGCATCAGAGGTGTGTTAGGGAAGGATGGCATATTTGTTCTGGAAGTACAGACATATACATTATAAATGTACTTCTATGTGTCACTGAGACACACTGAATCTCTGCTTAGAGTTTCTACTGTAGATTTGTAATGGTTCATTTGTAGAGTAGCTCCACAAATCTACACTGCTACTTCTGTTTTTTTTTTATTTCAGCTAAAAATATATAATAATGAGTATTGGAATACTATAAAGAAGACCTTACTAGTTTCTAGTCACTTATTAGAATTAATTTAAAAACTAATTTCCTGGGCTCTGGTCACCCTGCAAAGATAATTACTGTAGAGAAATGAAGCTGAGATGATCAGCCTGAGCGGGGATATTGCAAACTCTGCTGCTGGATTTTATTAAACAGTCACTAAGTGATGTGCTTTCAAAATGAAAATATGATCTATGGCTTTGTCCACCTGCTGTACCGTAACTATAAAAAGTATAGGATATGAAAAAAGAAAACACCACAGTCTAATTGTAACTGCCTAAAATAATCCCAGTTATGCTGACTAGAGTGTCTGGAAAAGTTCCGCTGATGGAAGTAAATAATTTATTGCAAATGATACTTACAGTGCCTTGCGAAAGTATTCGGCCCCCTTGAACTTTGCGACCTTTTGCCACATTTCAGGCTTCAAACATAAAGATATAAAACTGTAATTTTTTGTGAAGAATCAACAACAAGTGGGACACAATCATGAAGTGGAACGAAATTTATTGGATATTTCAAACTTTTCTAACAAATAAAAAACTGAAAAATTGGCCGTGCAAAATTATTCAGCCCCCTTAAGTTAATACTTTGTAGCGCCACCTTTTGCTGCGATTACAGCTGTAAGTCACTTGGGGTATGTCTCTATCAGTTTTGCACATCAAGAGACTGAAATTTTTGCCCATTCCGCCTTGCAAAACAGCTCGAGCTCAGTGAGGTTGGATAGAGAGCGTTTGTGAACAGCAGTTTTCAGTTCTTTCCACAGATTCTCGATTGGATTCAGGTCTGGACTTTGACTTGGCCATTCTAACACCTGGATATGTTTATTTGTGAACCATTCCATTGTAGATTTTGCTTTATGTCTTGGATCATTGTCTTGTTGGAAGACAAATCTCCATCCCAGTCTCAGGTCTTTTGCAGACTCCATCAGGTTTCCATCCAGAATGGTCCTGTATTTGGCTCCATCCATCTTCCCATCAATTTTAACCATCTTCCCTGTCCCTGCTGAAGAAAAGCAGCCCCAAACCATGATGCTGCCACCACCATGTTTGACAGTGGGGATGGTGTGTTCAGGGTGATGAGCTGTGTTGCTTTTACGCCAAACATAACGTTTTGCATTGTTGCCAAAAAGTTCGATTTTGGTTTCATCTGACCAGAGCACCTTCTTCCACATGTTTGGTGCGTCTCCCAGGTGGCTTGTGGCAAACTTTAAACGACACTTTTTATGGATATCTTTAAGAAATGGCTTTCTTCTTGCCACTCTTCCATAAAGGCCAGATTTGTGCAGTATACGACTGATTGTTGTCCTATGGACAGAGTCTCCCACCTCAGCTGTAGATCTCTGCAGTTCATCCAGAGTGATCATGGGCCTCTTGGCTGCATCTCTGATCAGTCTTCTCCTTGTATGAGCTGAAAGTTTAGAGGGACGGCCAGGTCTTGGTAGATTTGCAGTGGTCTGATACTCCTTCCATTTCAATATTATCACTTGCACAGTGCTCCTTGGGATGTTTAAAGCTTGGGAAATCTTTTTGTATCCAAATCCGGCTTTAAACTTCTCCACAACAGTATCTCGGACCTGCCTGGTGTGTTCCTTGTTCTTCATGATGCTCTCTGCGCTTTAAACAGACCTCTGAGACTATCACAGTGCAGGTGCATTTATACGGAGACTTGATTACACACAGGTGGATTCTATTTATCATCATTAGTCATTTAGGTCAACATTGGATCATTCAGAGATCCTCACTGAACTTCTGGAGAGAGTTTGCTGCACTGAAAGTAAAGGGGCTGAATAATTTTGCACGCCCAATTATTCAGTTTTTTATTTGTTAAAAAAGTTTGAAATATCCAATAAATTTCGTTCCACTTCATGATTGTGTCCCACTTGTTGTTGATTCTTCACAAAAAATTACAGTTTTATATCTTTATGTTTGAAGCCTGAAATGTGGCAAAAGGTCGCAAAGTTCAAGGGGGCTGAATACTTTCACAAGGCTCTGTATACACATTGTCTTATTGTGCAGTTGCCTGAATGAAAGTCAGTGGCATTCCCAACAAAGTCCAGTCACATTAATTTCATCTCAACTCATATCTATTTTCATTGTAAAAGAAGTAATACAAGGACGTATGATATCTTATCCTGGCATTAAAAAAGTGTTTTTTATGACCAGACCTTACTAATCATAGCAGGTCAGTGGGTTTGTCATCTTGCACCAACTGCAAATTGCTCTAGTCTTGTAGTTTTTCTAGTGAGATATACATTTATCTGTTGTTTAAACTTCAGCACCCATTACAGGTGTTACATTGCCAGTGGTATTAGGTTGGTGTACTAAACTGCATTTCACATACTTTGTGCCTTTTTTGTACAGTACTTTCTGTAATGTCAGTCATACTTACATCCTATAAGCATGACACAGATGGAGAAGATCTTCTCAGAGTTGGTGTTTGGGGACACGTTTCCAAATCCCACACTGGTCAGACTGCTGAATGTGAAGTACAGAGCTGTGACGTACTTGTCTTTGATGCAGGGGCCTGATCCTGGTGTAGGAGTTTACAGGGGTGAAACAAATAGGCCCTTGGTTTACCAGAATGACAGATGATTAACAATGATCATTCCATAACCGAGACACATCAAAGCTCATTTATTTTATTTTAAAGATCTGTTTTCTATTAAATTACACCAAACAGAACTAACGAGTACCAACAGTACTATGTTTCTAACCAGTATTAGCACTACACTATTTGTTCTTTCAGTACCTGGGATGGTGTCATTGTAGTGTTTTCCCAACTGGTCCCCCAATGTGTGGAGCCAGCCAATTGAACGATTTCTCTCTACATTTCCAATGGCATACCTGGGAGAAATAAGAATCGTTACAATTTGATTGTTTTTGAAATAAAATTACTGATGTTGGCAAATATCTGGACACTGCTGGAACAGCAGGTTGTCAGATGGAAATGACGACTGAACATAGCTCCTATTAATGTTGTCATATATATTTTTGACTACTACAAATTCTGAAACTTTATAACAAAATACAAATACTTTTTATGCTGAAATAACAAATTGCATGCTTCAGAAAACAAACAAAGAAATAAGCAAACACTTAAGAGTAAGATGTTAGTGTACAGAGCCCAGGAGGGGACATAAGAGAGGGGAATAAAATCAATGGATGAAAATCGAGGGGGATGAATGAATAAACAAAATCAATGCTTAAAAAAAAGAAGAGAAAAATATATCACTGAAATTAAAACTTACAAATGTTTTAATCTCACAAAAGTCTTACATTTAGACAAATATACGTCTGGGTCAGTTGAGCGCCTGGGTAATGACAACAATGGAATGCGCACATCCAGGTTAGCCTTTTATAAGGTTTTATTTCAAGCTTTAATATAAAGCTTAAATATGAGCCTCAACTATAAAGACATTACAGTACATCAGTATTTGGCCATAAGCAGGGTCTTCACATAAGTGAGAGACATTTGAAGAGTATACTTTGTGCAAGGGGATACTTGTCACAAAATGTACTTGAACTGGCAGACATGGTTGAATTCATGATCAACCAACTGCAGCATTCTGGACAGCTTCATAGAGGGTATGAATTACACCATGAACTTTGGCAGGTTACAACTTCATGCAAATATGTGTAACCTTTTTCCAGATCTCACAAAGTCTCACATCTTTTTGACTTTTTTCTCTCCTATGTCCCATCTCTGCCTGTGTACTACTGTGCTTGACAACACATACTGTACAATATATAATATAGCACAAGAAGGCTTAGTATTAAAGTTAAGATTTTGTTAATGTGTAACAGTTCTGATATGCAATGAGAGATATGATTATTCCCACACTATTGCCGTTTCATGTGATTCATCAGACAGTCATATGGCATTGTACCAGATGCAGGCCAGCCAGTGAGCGATGAGGGCAAAGGTGCACATGAGGAGGAAGAGAACAGCTGCGCCATATTCTGAGTAGCGATCCAGCTTTCTGGCCACACGGACCAGTCGCAGGAGACGAGCAGTTTTCAGCAGACCAATCAGAGTGGTGGGCTGATGGGAGTGGGACAGACAGAGAAAAGTAGAAATGAGACACTGTCAGAACACGAAGTTGTTTGGCTGTGCTATCTCCTCACAGTGTTCCCACCTGCTGTAATTCTGTCACACACACAGGTGGTAAAGCAATGGCCTCGTCCTGGTGTGATTCACCGGTGTGGAGGTGGTAAATCCTCCCATTCATTATTGTGGCCTGTCTATTCCGTTTTCTTTATACCTAGACCCCCTCCGCATCCATACAGCAAATAAATAGGCAGATTACAGCACTGGCAAAGAGCCTAGTCCTGCTCTGTGTGTGTGTCCTCACAGTAAATAACAGTTGTCTGCTGATGAAAATCTCCACTTTCTTGGCTCACTGGCCTCTCCTGGACAGCATCGATGAAGTGACTTTGGCAAAGCTCTCCCCATTCACTCTTTGAATATCCATCGCTTTTGGTTTGATGTGTGGCCATTTTTTGTGTTATTTACATGCTTCTCATTACTTATCGATGTGTTTTGGGTACAACTTAACTTATCCTTAGCTAGGCTGCAGAGTGATCCTGTCAGCCTTGGCTCAGTGGTTTTCATGTTCATTATGTAGGAAGCATCATCAGTGGACTACAGTGCAGCTTCTCATAGTGTCCCCGTTCTGTTTGCTCCACCTTCCTCCAACTCTGACCTCTTCCTTCAGACATAAATCTCCTATAACCTCCTTAAAATCTCCAGCCACATTCATTACTCCACTCTTCAGTTGTTCAGCAAATCAGTATCCACAGTTTCTTCACCAACTGTACTAGACTGAGCTAAACCTACTCACTTTTAATGCATGTTTATGTATATACTGCATTTGGGATGCAACACTGATTATACTGATTTCAAAGAAGTGCCACCCAGTTGCATACTGTCCTCTGTGGTTCTGGAGGTTTCTAAAATAACCCTGATGAAATCAAAGGACTGAGATTTAATTTTTTTTTTTTACAGAAAGCCTGTGCTATAAACTGGAGGTATGGACTTTGAAAGGAGCAGGAACTTGTTAAAACACACTCTCAGGTTGCATTATGGGAAATTTGGGGCTCATTATTCTTAAAGCTTGACCCATTGAAGAGATCAATCAATTTGGACCCTAGTTAAACCAGTACTCCATGTCACAGTTAAACTAATGACGTTTTAAAAAAATGGGGGTCTTTCTGGGTTTGCGTTTTTTTAATTGTATATTTTAATACAGGAATATGTCATAATACTGTATATTACATGTACTCATAGTTATGAGCACATTCACATAATGGTAACCAGTTAAACTAGACATTCGTAGATCTTAAACTGGTAAAATGCTAACCGCTTTCTGTTGCTATATAAAATCTTGTCATAAAAATAAAATAAAAAATTGAAATAAGCATTGAAATAAGGTATTATTTGAATATAATCACCCATTAAATTATGCATTTATTAATATGCATATTTTAAAAAATAATGAATTGTTATATACACATTTCAGGGCACCTGTTTACCACACAGTCACTGAATGTCCGTTATTGAGGGGGTGATTTGAGACACTGTAGTCCTTCTTTCCACAAAACTGGAAAATTACAGACCTGTAAAAGTAGTGTTACAGGAATATGACAAGCTATTACTTAAGCTTCAGCTTAATTTCCTCATTGTTTCATTTTTTGATGTGGCGTTATGGCTGCTAATAAACGTTCCCATGGAGAAGATTGAATTATGAGTAAAAAGTAAACCAGCTGTTAATTCCTATGCTTCACCTCCCCATCACTCTCTTCCTTCCTCCTTCTTTGTATCTCTGTTTATCTTCTCTTTATCCCATTAGAAAAAAACAGCGGCAGAGATGCAAACGTGATTACAACAGCAATATTTCTCTCTTTTTCTCTCTATCCCTCCATCTCAACACCACTTCTTGATTATTTCCTCTTACTCTACAGTAGCTCATAACTTCTCTCCCTCCGTTATGACATACCTCCTCTCCATTGCGGGAAATGAGAAGGTCAAAGGGAATAGCAGCCACCATGTCGATGAGGAACCAGCCTTTGAAGTAGTGGACGGCGATGCGCACCGGGTGGCTCACCACTTCATCATTGGAGTTCACATATGTTGTCCTGAGAGGAAGGACTGACATTAATAGTTGTTCTCCTTTTATACAGACACTACCATAACTAATGTGGCTACCACCTTGTACCACCGTACTTCATTAGCTATTGCTATATCCTCTAATGAAACCAGCAGTTTTTTTTTTATTTTTATTTTAGAACCAGCTCTAATGAGAGTATAATGAGATCAGAGCATTTGATTTGGGACAACCATATTTTATTTACTATGACTAATTTGAACACTGCTTCTGCATTGCTACTGTGGGTACTATTACTACTACTCTAACTTCTCAGAACTCTAAGATCATACCTGAAGTTGATGAGGATGTCAATGATGAACATGATATCCACAATGAGGTCTACCACGTTGAGAGGAGAGCAGTAACTACAACTCTGTGGACCTGTCTCTTCCTGTGAAGAGAGGAGAGGGCATGAGAGAGACAAGTGAAACAAAGGATAGCAAATATAAGAAGACAGGAGGAGGGAGCTATAATCTACTGCTTTAAAAATAGAACACTTCTATGACTACCTCTTTCAAATGGATTAGCATTACGGGTTTTAAGGGATAATACATATGCTTGTAGACTTAATATGCAGAAGTGAAACAGGGCACATAAACAAAAGCTATACTGAAATTGCTTTTTATTTTACAAGAAAAAATGTCCTAAGAAACATCCCATGGGCTCCATGGGAGAGGAATGCAATATGGACAGGTGGAGTTGCAGAGGGCTTTAGAAACACAGATCAAACCAGCTCCTCTCATCCCCTTTGAAAGCACTGCAGAAATCTGACTTTGACTGCTATCACTGATGTCATGGCTGATCTGGAGAGGCTCTGCCAGAGAAAGTTTTCACACAAGAAAACTGACATACTTGTCAGTGAAGTGCAAAGTCAACATGACTAAATCTATGGAAATATATGAGATATACTGACAAACTATTCTTTCACTCTATCTCTTCTCCTACTACTTATATACTCCATTCCTAAATGGTGATAAGAAAAATACTTATTGTAGAAGAATTGGACAAATATTCACTCAGTTGTGTGCTAATATTACTTACTAGTTTTTGTGCATGGAAGAAAAAGGCTCTGTCTTTGTAACTAGCAGCAATTATACACCGATCAGCCATAACATTCTGGCCACTGACAGGCGAAGTGAATAACACTGACAATCTTGTTACAGTGGCACCTGTCAGTGTGCAAGGTATATTAGGCAGCAAGTGAACATTCAGTTTATGTGTTGGAAGCAGGAAAAATGGGCAGCGTAAGGATCTGAGTGACTTTGACAAACGCCAAACTGTGATAACTGATGACTGGGTCAGAGCATCTCCCAGACTGCAGGTCTTGTTTTGTGTTCGTGGTCTGTAGTGGCTAGTACCTACAGTACCAAAGGCGGTCTAAGGAAGGACAAACAGTGAACTGGCAACTGGCTCATGGACGCCCAAGGCTGAGGAGGTTGACCTACTGTTAAACTTTTAAATTTCATTCAACATTTTCCAAAGTTTCAGTTTTGCTTGAATCTTTATTAAAATGGTTGAAAATTAGAAATACTGTACAGTGGTCTCTATGAAGAGAAACATTCAGTGGCTATAGTGGTGATATCACACCTAGAGTGGGGAGGCTGGTAAATGTATCTAAAGGATGATCTCTAACTCGTCCTCACGACCACAGTCTTCACTCCTTTTACACAAGTTTTTCACTGAATGGTTGAGACACGAATGCAAACGGATTCACAGAAGATGGGCACCAGTTCTTATGCTTCAGGAAAATTGCAGTGCAGTTGTGTTTGCTGAGCTGGTGTTATCCTGAAAGTGCTTAATAATAATAATCACCTTTATTTGGCCAAATATGTTACACGCACAAGGAATGGAGGCAGCCATCTGTGGTGCCAACTCAACCCGATGGCTCTAACCATCGGGGGCAACTTGAGGGTTCAGTGTCTTGGACACTTTGACATGTGAACTGCAGGCACCGTGATTAGAACCTCGAACCTCCAGATGGGAGGTGACTGCTCTACCCACTGAACCTCAGTCACCCCAGGGGATGTATTAGATATTAAATTGATAAGAACAGATACTACACTTGATCTTAGCCAAAAGGCTGAGAAGCGACACCCACTTTGTGCTGGCAGCAAATCAAAGCCCTATATGTTCAGTTTGAATTTTCAGTGCCATGAAAATCTTCTATGTATAATATTGCCTTATTTATCACAACAGATGTTCTGCTGGCAAATATCCCCACAGTGGGAGCCACATTGTTTTCTGTTCTGCTGTGTTCATTTGCTGAGGAAAAAATGCTGATGCTTAGTGTTGATACAACAGCTCTTGAGCTTCACAATAAAAGTGTTTTAATATGAAGACACTTGTAGGTCTTTACTGTTAAAAGAACTTATGTAGAAAGCCTTGACCATGTTGACCATGAGGCTTGACAAATGTGCATGTATAGAAAAAAGACTGGTGTGAAAATGTTCATAGTAATGACATTTTAGTGAACTAATAAATGACAAAACTAACTGTAGTGAGTTGTTTTGGTTTGTAAGTAAAGAGAAAAAAAGGAGCCACAAAGTGATACATTTTTAGATGAAGACAGAACATGTGAATATGTGCAGATATGTGTGTATCTGCCTGTGTAATATCAGTTGTAATACACATTGTATTATAATGGATCCAATACAATAAACGTCCAATAAAACTTGTAATCTCTTCAATATCTGTGTTTTCCTTTAAGACAAGATCAATATTGGGCCATTTATGAGACACATACATCTATATCTTGGTCTGCACACACAGTATATATTGTGTCTTTAAAACTGACTCGATGATCTCACGGTCATATATTGTACAGAAGAAAAGCAATTTTGTGACTTGTGACTGGGCAAGATACTAGAAATACAATTTACTTGACAGTAGTCTGATTCATTAATTTTAGTGAGAGCCCACCTGGTCCTGGAGGAGAAATGCAGCTGAGTAGGGTGTCAAGATGGCAGTGTAGATGACCAGCAGAAGGATCAACCAGTCCCATACTGCCTTGAAGGGGCTGTAGTGCAACACAGTCCACTTGTGGATGCGAGGAGCCTGGAGCTTGTACTCTGGCAACACATCTGCACCCAGAGACAAAACCTGTGTAGAGAGAAAGGGACAGAGTGGAAACTGTATCAAGGCATGTCTGTCTGTTTCTTTGTAGCAGTGACTTTGACATGAGGGCTTTATCTCAAAAGTGCCAAGCGAAAAGGAACCACATATAAACATATTCCACATATATATACGCAAGCATACACATGGATCTTTCTGCCTTACACACAACTACAAAAAAACACAAAGACACACCAGGAATGAAATCCTGGGTATTATGGTGCAGTTCTCGCCCTGCCTAATACAGTGCCTTGCGAAAGTATTCGGCCCCCTTGAACTTTGCAACCTTTTGCCACATTTCAGGCTTCAAACATAAAGATATAAAACTGTAATTTTTTGTGAAGAATCAACAACAAGTGGGACACAATCATGAAGTGGAACGAAATTTATTGGATATTTCAAACGTTTTTAACAAATAAAAAACTGAAAAATTGGGCGTGCAAAATTATTCAGCCCCTTTACTTTCAGTGCAGCAAACTCTCTCCAGAAGTTCAGTGAGGATCTCTGAATGATCCAATGTTGACCTAAATGACAAAGGATGATAAATAGAATCCACCTGTGTGGAATCAAGTCTCCATATAAATGCACCTGCACTGTGATAGTCTCAGAGGTCCGTTTAAAGCGCAGAGAGCATCATGAAGAACAAGGAACACACCAGGCAGGTCCGAGATACTGTTGTGGAGAAGTTTAAAGCTGGATTTGGATACAAAAAGATTTTCCAAGCTTTAAACATCCCAAGGAGCACTGTGCAAGCGATAATATTGAAATGGAAGGAGTATCAGACCACTGCAAATCTACCAAGACCTGGCCGTCCCTCTAAACTTTCAGTTCATACAAGGAGAAGACTGATCAGAGATGCAGCCAAGCGGCCCATGATCACTCTGGATGAACTGCAGCGATCTACAGCTGAGGTGGGAGACTCTGTCCATAGGACAACAATCAGTCGTATACTGCACAAATCTGGCCTTTATGGAAGAGTGGCAAGAAGAAAGCCATTTCTTAAAGATATCCATAAAAAGTGTCGTTTAAAGTTTGCCACAAGCCACCTGGGAGACACACCAAACATGTGGAAGAAGGTGCTCTGGTCAGATGAAACCAAAATCGAACTTTTTGGCAACAATGCAAAATGTTATGTTTGGCGTAAAAGCAACACAGCTCATCACCCTGAACACACCATCCCCACTGTCAAACATGGTGGTGGCAGCATCATGGTTTGGGCCTGCTTTTCTTCAGCAGGGACAGGGAAGATGGTTAAAATTGATGGGAAGATGGATGGAGCCAAATACAGGACCATTCTGGAAGGAAACCTGATGGAGTCTGCAAAAGACCTGAGACTGGGACGGAGATTTGTCTTCCAACAAGACAATGATCCAAAACATAAAGCAAAATCTACAATGGAATGGTTCACAACTAAACATATCCAGGTGTTAGAATGGCCAAGTCAAAGTCCAGACCTGAATCCAATCGAGAATCTGTGGAAAGAACTGACAACTGCTGTTCACAAACGCTCTCCATCCAATCTCACTGAGCTCGAGCTGTTTTGCAAGGAGGCATGGGCAAAAATTTCAGTCTCTCGATGTGCAAAACTGATAGAGACATACCCCAAGCGACTTACAGCTGTAATCGCAGCAAAAGGTGGCGCTACCAAGTATTAACTTAAGGGGGCTGAATAATTTTGCACGCCCAATATTTCAGTTTTTTATTTGTTAAAAAAGTTTGAAATATCCAATAAATTTCGTTCCACTTCATGATTGTGTCCCACTTGTTGTTGATTCTTCACAAAAAATTACAGTTTTATATCTTTATGTTTGAAGCTTGAAATGTGGCAAAAGGTCGCAAAGTTCAAGGGGGCCGAATACTTTCGCAAGGCACTGTACGACCACACAGTGAACTATCAAAGAACAGAACAAGCGGCAAATACAGAAGCGGGTTTGCTGTCTGTACTCACTCAGACAGCATTCTGTGTGGATGCACCAGCAATTAGTGGAGTAACTGAATTGGCGAAATTAAGATAGTTTGTATTTTGTTGATGCCATGTTGTCACACATATTACGTGAATCTAAATATAAAGAAGGCCTTACAGTATAATGCAGTTTAATACAACACTACCAGCTGTGCTCTAGAGATGAAGCTCTTCACTTAACCCCCCCTTTTCCTCATTTCCTCAGCCATCCTTATATCTTTTTTTGTTCCACTATCCATCTATTCATTCCTTGACTCTGGACCCATGATCTAACCAGCCCTAAATCCCCTGTTACAGCATAAATAAATGTGACTCTTATTCTTTTTGTATTTCTTCATGCCTTGTCCTTATAAATATGAACATTTTGACAGATAACATATCAATGTCAGGTATTTTTATTTCTAACATACTGTAAGGTACCTTTAAAATAATACTGGACTTTCCAAAGAGCTGTCAAAATATATAAAAAAGAAAAACTTAAGATAGGATTCTTATCTAATCCATTGTGGTAAGAAAATCCTATACATTCTTATATAAATTTCTTAGCCTAACTTTGCTACAGCATAAAACATCCAACCATCTAGGACAGGAAAAGTGGGTGCATATGTTACTGTGAGGAAAACCTTGTTGGAAAAACTCTCTCCTCAGACACACAACTGATCACCACCTTAAACAACCTGGACTTTTACACATTCTCAACATCTTTGAATTTCAGATTATGACAGAAGGTTTGCTAGTTCAGGTCTTCAGGCCATCTATTGCTTCAGACCCTTTGCTGATCAAAGAATCACTCAGAGTAGATCACTGGGACAGCTGCTCCATTCACACATAAATATTGTATATGTCAGGATTGAAACTTGAATAGATTAAATGTAGAAAATGGTCATCTTTGACTTCACTGCCCTCTACTTTTTGATTTCATGGATTTTAACAGCAATATATCACAAATATTGCTCGTTATCATAAATATTGCAAGCACATCTGTGTCCAGGCATGAACACACAAGTTCACAAGTGAGAACAAGCACAAACACAACATGCAAATACACATGTGCACACAGTCAAGTGTCCCTCTCAGCTGTGCAAACCCTCTTGGGGTATCTCGCAGGGTATTTTTAGCCTTCTGTGTGGAAAAAAAAAAACATAACCATGGGGACTGGACAGTGCAGATGCTAAGATCCATTTAAATGCAGATAGGATGCAAAGTTGTATCTTAGGACAGCAGTGGAAGATGAGGGCTGGGGATCCTCAATCCATTCATTAGGTATCCCTGAGAAAGATGGGATCTGAAACACTGGCTTTGGTTGAATAGTCAGTTCAAT